TGAACCAGACTAAACTCCTCAGTGATAATGAAAAGATAACTCGTCCACACAGACACAAACAAAGTCGGTATGTTCTCCTTCCACATATAGTACAACCTTTTTTAGGACACAAGATAAAGTTCACATTTACACTTTATATGTTTAACAGGATACACTTCCTGTTTAGGGAACATAAAAAATGTTTATGACCACTTACCCATAGTTCCTCTTCCTCTGCCTCTTCCCCTGCGTCCCCGCTCTGCACCTTTCCCCATGACTCCAGCCTTTCCGCCATCCAGGCCGTTCTCCTGACCGCGAACTTTAGTCAGAAAGAGGATGTTTTATTGTTACAATCTGTGTTAGCACACGAAACAACAGAGAGCCTGTTAATCTATTTAGAACATAAATGACTATGACTTACACTCTCTCCCCCTGCTGGCACCACGACCCTTACGTTGAATTCCACCCCGACGACGTGCAGCATCCTTCTCTCCTCCACCTTTCTCCCGGTTCTCTTTTCCTTCCTCTCCGGTCTCTGCTTGGCTCGTCTCCTTCTGGCCGGACACACCTTTTTTCTTGCCCACCATTTCCCAAGAGTCCTAGGGAAACACAGAAATGTTGAAATTGTTGAGTTCCATGTCTATTTGTTTATTATCAATTCAAATGGCATTTTGTCGACTCAAAGTTAATAAGAATGTTCAAGGTTTATTTACTATATTGAGACTACAACTATGTTATATTTTAGTCAGGTCCAAAACAAAATCAAAACAGTCAAAACAAATCAGTTTGTACTCACGGTGTCTGGGCTACCCTCCAGCAACACATTAATGGCTCTGTTCAAATCCCCGTTGCTGTCGTGCAGTGCAATCATGGACTCATCCTGGTCTTTGCCTGTGATGTCAATGAGCTGCAAAAATAAGACACAATAGATGTGAACACCAGTGGTAAATATTGATATTTTCAGGCTTGTAAAGAACATTTTAAAACAATGAGAGGATAAGAAAGTACCTGAAATTGAAAATTCGATGTTTAGTTACAGAGCACACAATAGTGCTAACAATCATAGCATAGTAATAACAATCCTTGGGATTTGAGTTGCTTGGTTACAGGACAGCTTGACATTAGTATTACCAGAAATGATCGTCTGGTATAATAACGTCATGATTGAACTTTAGTGAAACACTGAAGTTAACAGACTTTAACAAAATATATGATATATCTAACATATCTATCTATATCTAAAACATTACTGATATTTTTGAAAATATGCAAACATAAGTAAAAGTACAGTTGCAAAGCATTAAAGAACAAACGTGCAACATGTACAAACATCAAAAGAGCAAGAACAGTTTTACTAAGAGCTAAGTGGTGATGGATAAGGAAAATAAGAAACCATAGATCTCACCTGTTTGACCTTCTCTTCAAAGTCTGCATCATTGTGGTCTGAAATCATCTGTGCGAGTCGAATCTGCTCTGCAGTAGCCTGTAACCAAGAGCCCTTACATCAGCCAACCAATAAAAGTATTGTTGCCGAGAAGGGAAGAAGTAAAAACAACTGATAGTAGCCTTTTGCCCACTTGTTTGCCTGTGATATCTACTTTACCTCACAACATTTGCTTTACTCCTTTTCCAGGCTCCATTAGAATTGTTTAAATATATAAAAAAAATATCTGTGTCCCAGTGAAACACAAATTATATACAAGACGATACATTCAAGGATACTATTTCTTTCTAATAGTGTTGAGCAGGGTCGAGCCTGACAAGGTAAAGTGAAACTGAAGTTAGTGTTGATGGGATTTTTGTTCACAGCGTCTTGTCTTATATTGTGGTCAAAAAGAACCAATCAGGAAGTAAATGAGGGCAAGTCCATACATCACATTTAATGTCACATATTTTGGTTTGTTCAGTTAAGGCTGAAAATTAGGCCTGCAACATTGTCAAACTTTCCTTATTGGAAATCTTCAGCTTTGCAGTAAGGTGCAGCAGGCCTGTCTGTGTGTTGTTGTGGTGAATTCTGTGAAGCCATGCTGGGTCAGTAATCTAGAAACAAGACCCTTGTATCTAGTTGTTGGGCAATATGTTGTCAGCCCATGTGAGTGATAGCTCCCTTTTTAATTTAGATGCTAAAGCAGAACAAGTCTGTACTTCACTTGACATGACTAATACAGAATAACACAACCTACAATGCTATGGACAATGATTGGCTGTATAGACTAAATTGACTCAAAAAAAAGTTGTACGGACCATTTTAAATTTGTAGGCAGTAATATCTGCAAAGAGCAGTAACATTTGACAACACTTTGCTGCTATCTGATCCTTGAGAAAAGCAGTGTGAATTCGACAAGTGCAAATATGGTACCTGAGGCCTCTGCTTGTGCTGTGTCTGGTTCTGTGTCTGGCCCTGTGTCTGCTCCCAGCTGCCCCGGGCTCTGTTCCCGCCCATGGATGTCATCATTTACAGTATATACAAATAACAGTATTTACAAAGGAATAAGACCTGTGGAGAAGGGGGGGAAAGGACATTTGAAGACATGTGGCTGTGGCCTATTTTTGTCATTCAACACACTCCTGGTTCACTCCATTTCCTCAAACTGCCCTGAGTCAGACAGAGGGTTATATGCAATTCACATCATGTCCTACTGAACTTACTCTACAACAACAAAAAAAGTCTGTTTTGAATGCTTTAGCACCTTTTTCCTGGGCATTTGAGCTAAGTATTGTAACAAATTTGGACAGTCAGGGCTGGTGCAGTGAGACTGATGACATCACCATGGAGCAAAAGTCACATTTAAACCAAAATTGTGTTTTATCTGTTAGAACTGGACTATTCTGATCATGCTGGTAGTGCAGTTGCAGGCACTCATCATACCCAGCCACGACAGCTGTAATAACCAATCAGTCTGACGTGCATTTTTTAATATAGCCATATCATGTCAGATTAAAAACTACACCGTATTTGAACTGTGAACAACAAATGTAGAATTTGTTTTTACGATAATGACTCTCATAGAGGTGCATTTATTCCTGATCAGTCCCCAGATCGTAATGTCCTAAGTATGAAAGGCAGAGTTGGGAAAGTTAATCTCCCTGTTTGGTTGCTATGTTTTGCATCTTCATTATTTTGGCTTTCAACACAATTTTGGGGTTTATGATTTCCGTATAGTCTGAGGTTAGATAGTTAATTACACAGGTGACAATCCCCAACTGATTACAACCTGACATTCTGAAATGATCAATGGCTGGTTATCCAGATTCCTATCAAGGTTGATGACATATGTGTTGACACACGAGTTAAGAGGAATGATAATAGCTCATGGGCACAAGAAATAAGTAAATTTCAAAATGACATATTTTTGATAGAGACTGTTCTCATGTATTGGCAACATCCACATACAAGATAATTGGGTTCAGTAAAAGGTGGCAGTTGCTGTAGTAAAGCAAACAAGCTGCCACCTTAATAAAAAAGCAGTTAACTACCATACCTTAGGTTGACTACCTACATTCCCCACGTAGAAATATAAGAGCAGACGTAAGCACCCATACAGATGAGGACATTATGACAGACTTCCTGTGGCCCACTAAAAAAACTGAGGGGATTCTGTTTTTCTTAGTTTCTTCACGAAGTTCAGGAAATACGCTAATGGATATTTGGGCTATTATATACGGTGAAGACATAAGGCAAGGCGTCTGTGGAAAACGAAACGTTAACAAAGGATGCATGCAGTATCTAGGGCAACGACTCAGGGTAAATTCGCTACAGTGCCACGGTACACTGGGTGTTGGTGCATACTCCCCTCTACAGTGCATAACATTGGCTAATTTATTTACCTACCCGAGCATTATGCAACACCTACTGTGTTCAAAACAATTTACAGGCATTACTTATTGAATCGATAAATAAATAAAACTACACATGATACGGCCATGATAAGTCAATCTGCTACATATTTTTAGCCCTGCTATTGACAGCTATTTCTAAATCTCACATACATTACGTAAAAAGCTCTACTGCTGGCCCAGAAATAACCCTAAAGACCGGGCCTCGCCAAAGATAAACTAATTGAACTAGCTAGCCACATGGCGAAAACGCTAGCCAAATGGCTAATGCCAGAGAAGATGGTGAAAAACTACCAAGAGTTGGCGTTTTCCGCGTATCCGCTGTCTAACAGGCTTCACCTCATGGCGACTGCGGAGCTAACTTTAACACAGGCTAGCTCAGCTAGCCGGCTAACACGCTAACTAAGACGCGACAACCGGCTAAGATGCTAGCGTCAATAAGTGAATAAACGAAACGGCAACTAGCAAGTAGAAACAGCGCGACTGTGTACAATTATTTGATGCATAACAGAACATTGTAAGTGTCATCAATATTCGACTGCCATCGAAAGACTGACGTGCTAACTCTCTAAACTGAACGTCGTTTACAGCTAACATCTAGCCAGCAACGCAGGCTAACATGATAGCGGTGTTCACGAAAAGGCAAACATTTACCCAACACTTTGACCCAGTTTTGTTTTCAAATGACACTTTTGCTCGGCGAAGTATTAACAGACGGCAACGACGCCAACAAGACCCCTGGGCCTACATAGATAGAGACAAAAACAGAGATACTGACCAGAAAAAGCCCCGGCTCAATTTTAGGACACAGCGAGACAACCGACACACAAGTGGTCTCAATGTCGAGCCGTAGGATTTATTCGGATTCTGGACAGATTGTTATATTTCTAAGCACAGCGTTATCACATCCACGCTGAATATAAATAAAAAAGTGAGAGCCGACTCCTCCACATGCACAACAAACGACAGACTATGAATTTACCTGTTTCTTTTCCCCACTCTGACACCACGGAGAGCTGCGTCACGTGGTTTTACACGGCGTTTCGAGGAAACCGTAGCCACTACATGTGACCACACACTGACATACGTAGATTTATGTTATTCACCAATAACACGCCTGATCTTTAATACTCCGAAGAATGGTGGCATTTGTAATATAAAACAACAGAATAAGAATAATACTATACAAACAACTTTAGGTTTGATATTTACTGGGTATCTCGTCGATATAGAAAAAGCAGAAGCATCACATATTAATACATAGTACAGAATAAAAATATGGGGAAAAAGAAATACAAGTGTTTGTTAATTGTGATGGGTTGGTGTGTATAAATCTATGTTATATTGCCGACAGAGACTGAGATATTGGGGTGTAGATGATAAATTAGTATGAAATAGTTACTGTCAGTTATCTTGGCTTCAAAGGAGGTCATACTACGGATGTTACTTCAAAGGAAGTGCTCTCACAAACAAAACAGACACAACCATAGTAAGTCTCCAATCCCAGTCGGGGCAGTTTATATCCAATGTACATAAAACACGACTGGGCTTGTCTTTACACAGTTATTACGGTAAATGACAGCGTCAATTGCCCTATGTGCCGTAAATCGAGTCGAGTGTCGTCCTCCCTGCGCACAGTTTTGTGTGCGAGCAGTGTTATTTTAAACGTAACTGTGTAACTAACGTAAAACTTCAATTCAGCATTAGTTTCTTTTATTTTATAACAAAAAGGGAAAACTGCTGCACGATGATTAATATTTTTTCGTCTCCATTCCAGAGGTTGTTTTATATGAATTGGTCAACCGACGGTTAGCTTATGCTAATGCTACAAGGCGTTAGTTTGGTTTTCTGAACGAGCTGATCTTCCTGTATATAAAGTGTACACGCAATGACAGGTAACATAGGCGACTCGTCGCCTTTATCCGGAGTTAATGTAGTTTTGGTTATGGCCTATGGCAGCTTGGTAAGTATTGTAATAAACAATGCAGTTTCAGTTGCTTTTAAAAGATCATTTAGTAATTCCGACTTCTAGACTGTGAGCTGATGTTATTTATTTTGCACGTGTGCAGGTGTTTGTGTTGTTATTTATCTTCGTTAAAAGGCAAATCATGCGTTTTGCAATGAGATCCCGTCGAGGACCACATGCACCAATCGGACACAATGCACCAAAGGTAAAATAAATTATTTTTGTAGTCAAGCCTGGAATATTCTGTTCCTTAGTTGGATGGGTTTTCTCTAATGCCATAGGGTAGATCCTTATACCTACTCGAAATTTATTCGTAGCTCAGTCTGCTTTCTTCACCCTAATTTCACCTCATATCTGTGCTGCACCACCCATATGTACATTTCTGCCACTCCGGGTGTGTAAGGTGCTATTTGAAAGTGCTGTTATTTTAAAAGTGAAGAGCAGAACACAGCTGCAATCTGTGACTTTTCTATTTGATTGAATTCACAGGGTTTGAGGGAGGACATTGACCTGAGACTCTCCAAAGTTCAAGATATCTGTTTTGAACCCCGTCTTCTGTCAGAAGAAGATGACAGGCTGAAGCAGGGATTACAGATCAGTCAGTGGCTTCTTATAGTTGACATGTTATTTAAATCTCTAATTGCTTTGTCTTTGTTATACTTCAACATTGACCTGTTTGTTTTTCAAAGGTTGCTACAACTACCTGTACAGAATGAAAGCCCTGGATGCCATCCGTGACTCAGGTGAAATGTTGTTCGATGCATAAACTAAATTAGTAAATGTTGCGGTTTCATTATGAACTTTTCTTGACATCACAGAGCCCATTTGTTTTTACAATTCTTATTATATAATTATACTGTATATTATATTATTATTAAATTGTAATTGTAAATTGTGTACTTATACAATAGTTATTTTACAACAAGTACAATTTCCTTATTGTCAACCATTCCTGTCCTTTCCTGTTTGAATGCCAGGAATTCCTCTGCAGGAGATTAGCTGCAGTCCCAACGCCTTCACAGGACGCAGCTTCAGGAACTGGCTCCTAGAATTGCGCAACTCTCACTCCCTGATCAAAAGCAGCCACAGTGTGCTCATTGATCGCCTGCTGGAGGGCTATGACATAGCTCGCCATGGAACTGGGGTGGGTGTAACTTTTCGTTGTCTCTGAAATCATTCACATACCTAAAAAGGATCAGTGATCTGGACTAATACATTGTAGTAAATTTGTTAATTATAAAATAATAACTCTTGAGTTAAAAAACAATTGACTACATTGTGTCTTTGCTACAAACTAGGTTGTTTGTTCTATGTTATTGTGTCATTTCTTACGACCTTCTGCTGATTTCCCTTGGACACTGTGTTTCAGATGTTTGGAGAGGCAGAGTTTCTTGAATACCAGCAGGCTCTCAGTGAACTGGTTGACGTGTAAGTTTCTGTCCAGACTTGAAATTGTTGAAATTTCTGAAGCCAGTGAATCCACCACTGCCGTCAAACTGAGGGTCAGGCTGTGATGCATGATTTACATGTTACTGTTGAGGCCATTACGTCAACATGTTACAGCCTCAACAGAAATAAATACTTAGTTAAGTTATCCAGAACCAATTGGCTTCAGTGTACTTGCCTGCAGCCATTCACGTTATTTTTCTTCCTCTTTCATCTTTTTAGTGTTAAGGCCTATTCCAGCAGCACTAGTCTGGACCAGCAGCACCAGTCTGCAGCCAAGGATCTGACTGGCTCTCCTGTTCGCAGCACTCCCTCCACCATCCAGGTCACTTACCTGCCCTCTACTGGCCAGCGCAGCAAGAGGCCCAAACACTTTCTGGAGCTTAAAAGTTTCAAGGACAACTATAACACACTGGAGAGCACGCTGTGAAATATTTCCGCATGGACTGACAGGCACATGTTGTTGGTTTTGGGCTGTAAGAATGTTGTAAAACATAACAGTACACACAGAGAGGGAATGCAAAAGATTTTGGACAGGGCTGTAAAGGTTCAGACTAATGTAAACAGTAATAAGATGTTTTGGTATGATCCTACCTTTTTATTTAGATGATGCACATGTGTGCAGGTTAAACCAAAGCTGTTTTGTTGTGGACCTGATTTTAATTATGATTGTAGCCTTTTAGGGCCTTCAGTGTTTTTATTTTTGTATAAATGGCAAAATATTGACAAAATCTCTTGTTTTTATTTTTGTATAAATGGCAAAAAATTGACAAAATCTCTTCCTTTTTTCAATTGTAAATACATATCCTCGTCTTTTGTTTTGATCTGTGTTTGTAGATATGTAAGATATTTGTATGAACAATTCTAATTTATTTTATTGATACTTTTTGATTTTTATATTTATGTGAAGCTGTGCAGTTTGTGATTTGTGAATAAAAAATAATTCTACCACCACACTCCATAGTGTTCTCAATATACCCACTAGGTGGCGGCACTATATCAGCTCAGACAGAACCGGATAAACCAGACGTCTTATTTATTTAAATAAACATTGACAACAACTACATCTACAAAACATACGGTCTGAACTACAGGTTTGCTTTTCCACAAGGTTCACAGTGTAAGAGTGAGTTGATTTACAGAAATGTCATTCTCTACTGAAGAGGGTAAAAAATCAACAGCATCCATATCAACTGTCAAGGCGTCAGTTAACAAATAATATTTTTGGTGTTAGAAACTGCACAGACAACAAAGATACATATTAAAATAATCTAACCACGATTCTACACACACCTTTGTTTTAATACGTTTTTTAGGTAAATAAAAGTCAATTCAAATGCATCCAATGAAAAATGTAACAGCGTCTTCAGGAATAGTTCCCCAGTCACAAAGTTGATCTTTAATCATTTGTTTGTCCCTCACTATGACCTAATCCTGTAGTGTAATGTCTGTTGGCAGAGTCTACTGAACCTCAAGCCATACACTTACCTCAATTAATAAAAATTCCTAAATCATAGCCAGTTCTACAGAGATGAAATAGTTAAGCAGTTTGATGTTCATATGGAAATTGGATCTATCCATTTACTGTTAGCCAAACTTGTATAAGAAATGTTTAAATATACATGGATTTCAGTCAGAACATGGCTGCAGGCTCTGTTATGGGTTGAGGCTGCATTTCAATTATATTTACACATTTTCTATATACATTTTCATGAATTTCACAAGAGCAACCAAAATCCATTTGTTCAATTCACTGTCGTAACTTCTCGGTAAAACATAAAACCCACAGAGAAACTCAGGACTAAAACCCACTGCTGTAAATCACAGAAAACGGCTCGTCTGCTCATTGGCAACATGTTGCAAAGCCACTAGGAATTTGACCCTCAACCCTGAACACTGTGGTCAAAGGAGCTGTACAGAACATGCACGTGGACCAGAGACTTTAACAATAATAACTCCTAACTCCAGTGCTGACCCGTTCATGCTGTGCTGTTAGAACCACCTGTAGATTACAGAGCCATTATGGGATGTGGGAACCTGTGACTATGAGATAAGAACAACAACATACTCTATATTAATGTGGAGTAAATGAGTGTCATGGTTTTATCAGTAATTTTCTCCGCCTCCTGATTTGACGTCTCTGTTCCTTCACCTGATTAGATCCTGTTTGACACTGAATATAAACTGTTGGCAAAATAATGAGTCTTATTAACACAAGCCCACTTAAATACCTGCACATTTTTACAGAGAGAAAGGGGATTATATATATATATGTATATTTACATCTTTTCATTATTGATCAATTCAACGGTTGGCACCACATTCAGGACTTGATCTCGATGACCTTGATAAATGGCAGGGCCTTGTTGGTTGGTGATGTTGGCATGAGTTGTTTACTACACACCAGAGGGCAAAAATCATGAAGTTATTCATTTATATGATTAATATAAAGATGTGGTATCATTACAGATGATCATAGGAAAAGGTTTGTCACCTGTAAACGATCTCTGGCTTGTTCCCAGTGGATGTCACAGGTGGAGGATTCTGCCCAGACAGGAAGTATTCCATGTGGTCGTGCATCTCCTTGTTCTACAAAGAGAAAATGGAACAATGGAGCCAGTCAAAACTGTTATGTGCTGATAGCTTAATGCTATCGAATATGCTAAAACTCTGTTTCTAACAGCTGTTTGTTAAATCAAAAGCACAAGACAAGTGCTAATAAAAGATTATATAAAAGACTTCACCAAAGTCAGCAAGTTGTAACAACTACAGTAAATACAGTACTGCAGTACAGTAAACAAATGTAAATGTTAAGAAAGTCCAACTGTCGACATTTAGCAGGTGACAGTGGAGATGAGAAGGGCAGGAGACAGTACATAATGGTTTCTGACCTCTGCTTCCAGAAAGGCCACCTTCTCCTCCAGGTCTCCAATGACACGATCCCTCTCCTGGATGACGGTCCTGGAATTCTGCAGCTGTGACAACAAACAAAAGACGAAAACACAAGCTGTGGACAACGTTTGACACAGAACAAACACAGGTCCTGACACGCTATCACTTATTCCTGACGCAGGTATTTTCTTTTCACCACAATTCTACAGTACTTCCTCAAATCAATACACTCATGTGTCCAGTACCTACGGATGTCATTTGCACTTCAAAAGCATCCTGTGTGTTTCTGAGCAATGGAGATCTGTTCAGCATGGTGTGTGTGTGTGTGTGTGTGTACCATCAGCACAGATACCTGTTCGATCATGTGGCGGACTTTCCTCTGCTGGCTCTTTAACATGTCGTCAAGGTGATGGATCTTCTCCTTCAGGGAGGCCACCTCCTTCTCCAACTTCTCACACCTTCAAACAACAACATTTTAATGAAGATAGAAACTCCACAGAATCATCAACTGTGACGGTTAAATCCATTACACCTATGAAACTACTGTTGGTCTAGAAGAAGAGTTTATCTTTTACTTGGAAAATGTGGGTTTTCACCAGTTACGCCCTTTGTTAATCTATCATCAGAGATAAGATGAGAGGTGGGTGGAAATGACTGTATTTTTATCTGTTGGGAGATACAAGTTATAAAAAGTACTGTTTTATTAACAGTACTTTTTTTCAGCCAAATTTCACCTTTGTTCTTTCTCCTCTCCTCCCTCCCTGTTTGCCCTCAGCTGCAGCAGCTCTGCTTCTCCTTCGGCCATCTTGTCTCTGAGGACACTGCTCTCGAGCTCCATGCCACCCAGCAGCCTTTGCAGCTCCTCCACCTGCAGACACTTCTCCTCCGACTGATCCTCTGCTCGCTGCAGCCGCTCCGACTGCTCCACCAGACGAGTGTGATACTCGTCGTTTTCCTTCTGGAAGTGACAGAGCTGTTTTAGTTACGACAGACATAAAGTAAAAGTCTGGGTCATCAACATGTTTTCATAGGTTTGGGCTGGATCTGTGACAGTTCTTGGAACACTAGAACATATTCTTGTCTCTTTGGTCAACATTAAAGTTAGCCAAGATTAGACCAGAGTCAGTGAGGTCTAGCAAAACATCTAATCTAATATCTACTTCTATCTAATAAAACTAAAAACCTGAACCTCACTGTTCCCAAAGTTATTTTTAGGTTTACGGTATTGTTTCTTGTTTTATTACTGTTGTACTTCTGTAACTATCAATATGATATTCTCATGCTCTCTGTTGTTTGTTTTAACAACCAACAACAGATGAGTCCATGATACAACCTGAAATCTTCCAGCCTGTGTCTGATGTGACAGATTAATCTGGTGCCAAGTACAGACTGAGACAGAGGAGGATGGAAAGATGAAATGTAGAGATGAGACCCAGACATAATGGAGATGATTAAAGGAAGTGATGAGCAGCAGCAGCAGAGGTCAATGACTCATATCTGCAGGAAATGGTCTCATGTTGCTCGTCTACTGAGTCAGACCTGCAGCCTCTCTCTCTCCTCCTGGTGCCTCTTCTCCATCTCCTTCAGCTGAGCGTACAGACGCTTGGTCAGCTCCCTCAGCTTAACCGTCTCCTCTCGATTATCCGCAACCTGAGAGGGAGGGTACACGGACGTCAACATGCTCAATCAGTCTTCATTTGGAAAACCACACATGAACGCTAAAGGGCAAGCTAAGAGCTAAGAGGCAAACAGGACCATTAGCTGCGTGTTCACAAAGACAGTTTGGTCAAGTCTGAGCCAACAAAAGCATTAAAGGTCTGCAGAGGAACGTCTTGTTAAACTGAGCAGAGATAACCTTTGACCTCTGGGCTCTGGTTTTAAGTGTTAAAGCACTTTTGCCTCCCAGACAAATGATACATGTCTGAGATTATTTCCAAGAAGACAACAGCGTAACCTGATACTAGTTTGCCCACATGTGACAGAACAGCAGATCTGTGTGTATGAAGAGAAGAACACCAAGCAAACCCGTACCTCCTATTCTGGCTTTCTCCCTAGAGGATAATGGTGTAATGTTACAGGAGATGCTGTGGTCAGACTACAACAGTACATGGGACACATGATACTGTTTGCATGTGTGTGTTTCTATGTGAGTTGGTGAAATGTAGGCTTCAAAAAGCCCTGCTCTTGATGAAACAATATAACTGTACAGAACACCAGTGTCATTGGAGTTTTTCTGAATTAATGAAATTGTTTTCCTCTTTGTTTTAAAACTGATGAAGGGACTTCAGTCATGGTTAAACTAGGTGGAATTGTGATTTGCTTACATCAGCGTTTGACTCAGAGAAAACAGAGTTGCCATTGGAGGAAGCTGGTTGGTTGCTGGTTATGTTGACTCTGAAGCCATTGGCTGGATACTGAAGAAGAAAGCAGCCAAAGGTTAGTGCAGTTAACAATGCGTTTGCACTTATATCGCACATGAGAAAACAAACTAACTTTCAGCTGTTACTTGGTTAAAGTCGTATTTTTAGCCCATGTTTGTGGAGTTGTGTCTTTGACTAAGCTTTAATTCAATTATATAATATAGCTATATTTAGTGAGTTCTACTGTTAGAAAAAAAGCTTAAAATATTTAAGGACTTGGTTTCTTCATCATAATACCAAACACAGTGATCACAATAACACAGCATTGACTCTGAGGATTTGTACCTTGTTGTTACTATTCTGTCTGGCTGCCATCTGCTCTCTCAGAGTCTTCAGACAGTACCTGACCTGAGGACAACAACACATCATGTATTAAAAAACAACAACACTATCTATGAGCACTTCACAGCCTGACACTGAATCCTAACACATTAACAAATGCTGTTGCCAGAGTTGAAGCTGTTCAGTCACATATTTACCTCCTGGATCTGTGGGACCTCGTCCGTCAGCATCCTGACACTGTGTTCTCTCTGGACAGGGTTTGAGGTAAACCTGGGTCATCATAACAAAAATAGTTTCAATAAGCACAGAGGACTGACTGGATACAAACAACATCCACACAGACAGCTGCAGGAAAAAAAAAAAAACTCCATTACCTTAATGACTCTTTTCCAGCGTCGGCCTGATGGTGTCAGCCGTTTCTTCCTGCTCTTCTGGTTTTTGTGTCAGCGTGGCTGCTATGCTGCTCTCCTTCTTTCAGCAGAAACATTCAGTTAATCTCCCAGTTTGAACTGTTTTTGTTCATTTCAAGAAACAAAGTGATAGAAATAGTTTTCCTCTTTGTTTTGTACCTTGTTGTTTATCCTCTGAGGTCTAAATCCTGATGCTGCCAGAGTGACTCTACGCTGCCTGCACTGGAGCTAGAATGAAAGATGAGAGGATAAGAGAAGCCGATGACTCAATAGAACAGAAGGAGGATTAGGAGACAAGCCACCAATGAAGACAAAGAAAAACTCAATTGAAGTCACCAATGAAAAGGAGGGTGGAGCAGGGAAAGACCATGAGGGCAACTTCTTCTTTTTTTTTTCTTTTTTTTTTTTTCCACACTGAGGTTCCTCTGTGGATGCCTCACTTACTTGTTGCAGCCTGGCAACTACCACAGAATGAAAAAGAATTTCCACAGAAACCTCACGGGGAACAACATCTGGTGATTATAATCAAATGTCACAGAAAACAAACCAGTCCATTCCAGTGAAGACCAAACATACCAACACTGCAGACACTCGTGACTTCTGACTAACTCTTAATCCAACTTCCTCACCCTGGAAACAACACCACCACCAATTCAATATCTACATTAACACGCTTAGTTAACAACATATGTTCAACACAGTACAGTACGGTACAGTACGATTTGGTCAGATACGATATTAAACAGCAGCTAATGTGTCACAGTGAGATTTATGACAGTATTTCACTCTTTGATCAGTTCAGTTCAGTTTCATGGTCACGAAAGGTCCTAAATAATTCACATTTAAGCCAGGGGTAAAATAAAGGGCAATTTTCTCCAGGTAGAGTCCAGAGTTTGGACATGCCTATTCTCAGGAAGACCATTTGGCCCGTGGCTGCTTTTGCCGTGTGGAATGTGGGTTGAGATGGTTTGGACGTGTGTTGAGAAGAGATACTGCCTGGAGGATGAGGAGAAGAAGGTTCAAGGATGTGGTGACAGGGGGTAACAGCAGAGGAGGCAGTGAACAGGATGAGATGGAGGCAGATGATTCGCTGTGGTGACCTCTGAAGGGAAGAAGAATGTTGTGGCTCCGTGTAAATGACTAGGACAACCATTTTGGACTACAACTGTAAACTGAACACATCAACGCACACGTAACGCCACAACAACAACAAAATCTAAATACTGAAAAATGTCTGTGGACTCACCTGAACCCACTGTCAGTTTGACATCACAGTCAGAGGTAATCTCCATAAAGAAAACACTGTGGACTACTGTGACACACCCAGAATGGAAATACATATACAATACAAACCACTGATGTTGACTTTTCTCTGAGTGGGTAAAGAAAACACATCATTTCACAAATCCATGCTAAATGCAACATGTACAGGTGAGTTATGTAACAGTGTATTTTTATCTCACCAACCTCAAATACACTTAATCCACCAGTCATCACTATAGGCCGTCGTGTATGTATGTATGCACCACTTCCCCTGAAGGTGCAGTACATCTGTGTCAACATGCCTTAGCTCTTCAACACAAAAACAATCATTTTTATTATCGCTCAGTATTTGAGGGGGACTCTATGCTGTGTGGGCGGCGGCCACAAGAAAATCAGTTAAAGATGTGTTTGGCTCACACACCTTGCTTCACCTCCCACACTTAAACGTCAGCCAGTGAAATGCAAAATCATTTTCTTTCTAAGTAATTTAGTCACACCCTGTTGTTCCCACAGCACGTGTTCACCTGAAAAATGATTAACGTCAGTTCATATGCCTTTAATTGCTCTGTGTGAGAAAGACACTGGTGGTTACAGTGTAATAAGTCATGACACATTCTCTTCATACCACAGTCTGTTGTCAGTGTGAGGTGTGAAGATGGTGCCCTGATGGTAACGTCAGCACTCACAGTGATGGATGTGTTTATACCACGTTTTGGCTGAGGGCAAAAAATACAACATAAACAAACATAACTTAAATAATTATAACCACATTTACATGACACAGAGACACTGCTGGAGTGTGTGTCTCACAGCTACTGTAGTCATTAAATGTAGGATTAGTTTGTGGGTTTGATGGTAATTAGTCAACCCACACATTTGAGTTGGAAATGATTTTAGTAGAAGTAACCTGCAGGGTGTGCTATAAACAACTATTATTTGGGAACCTACATTTTTAATCTGGAAATCTTTACCAACTTTCTTTAAAACTATTTTGAATTTCTCAGCTATTGGGCAAAACTATTTTGAATTTCTCAGCTATTGGGGTGAAAAGCCTGGTCCCCCCAAAGGCAACATTTTAATTTCAAAGAATATTTGAAATTAAGATTAGGACTGAGGACTTCATTAAAGTTAATGAATTTCTTCAGGAACATGTGGAACCACGTGTTCTTCCCAACGCCTGAAACCATTTCTGACAGTGAGTCAATGCAAAGTACACACTCTGATGTGTGTGTCTGTCAGAAAACACATGTACATGTTAATGGATTCAAACTGTTCTAACATGTATGTGAACATGCCAACTATAACTCATACCCAGAAAAGTACAAAAGTGTTCATCTACTGAGAGGGAACGCCGTACGAAGGCAGTTTCTCTGCTCCAAAAGTCAAAGACAGAAAAGGATCCTCCGTCCTGACTCTATGACGCTCTGTCAGTATAATTACACTGTCCTGAAACCATCAGAGCTGAGGCAGAGACACTGAGGCCTGGATCTCACTCTGTGGTCTGAGGGAGTGTCAGATCCAGGTCTGCAGTTGCTCCCTTTTTTTGTAGGCCGTGGTACAGACACGCCCTGGGTGGTGCACACTCAACACAAAGACACAATGTTCTCCACCTTAACACATGCCATTTTTCTGTCCTCCTTTTCAAAGGTTTGAATGCGACTCTGCTGCAGAGCTTTGAAAAGGTCAGACTGACTCCAGACCACCAATCTGCAGTCATTTAAAAATACCATCAACTGTAAACAAGTATATGAATGTTTTGACAGATGAACGTCGGCCAAGTCTGTTCTCTGCCAAATGCCTTTAAGGGCCTATCTCCTTTTTTGGAAAACTATTTGACACAATTATTAACACATGGGAATTCAAAATGTGGTCGAATGTAAAGGTAATATTTCTGATAGATGCTGCAAACATCAGGTTGGCGCTAACTTCAGAAAAACCACCACTCGGCAACAACAGGAGCAAATAATCTGAGGAAAAAAACAACTCAACAAATGGTTATGGAACAAAGGAAGACTGATCACCAGCCAATGCCATGAAATGTGATTATCATGTGTCATCATAAGCCAAACCGCTTGTACCTTCACTTGTACCAAGGTGAGTTTAAACATGAAGGTCCCTGTAAAAACCTGGGGTACAGAACTCATTTAGGGTCACATGAATAAAAACTGGGTCAATTTAAAAAAGAAAATTTGTGCTGTTCGCACTATGGTGGTACAGAACTCATTTAGGGTCACATGAATAAAAACTGGGTCAATTTAAAAAAGAAAATTTGTGCTGTTCGCACTATGGTACAAAATTCAGATTTGGGGGAAAAAAATGTAATTTGCGCTTACGTAAAGCTTTGGTACAGAACTCATTTAGGGTCACATGACTTACGTAAAGTAAACAGATATCAGTGAAGCAGAGTAACTTCATCCTGTTCTTTACTGTAAATCCATCTGCACAGACAAGTGCTAACATATACTTTCCTGTTGTTTATACGTACATTAAAGTATCGGCTTTTACATGTTGAAAGTATTCACTGGATCATTTCTCCCTCCAATGTTGGAAAAAGAAAACTGGTCAAAACTTATGACATTCTCGTCTCTACAGCTTCAGGAACAAACAGAGTTCACAACCAAAACCCAGTAGAATCCGCAGGTTTTAATTAATCTAATGGTTTTTGTGATAAGCAGCAGTAATAAATCAACTTCATTTATAAAATGTGAGGCATCTATTGATTGATATCTAAATGCCTTGAAGGAATTCATCCATTTTTAATGAGTGACTTATCAGTGAACCAGATCAAAGGACAAACATGACGTTAATTCCTAATTAAACACCAAAGCTTTCATAACAGAGGACAGAGCCAACTTTTAGTAGAACAAATGACGTGACTCCACCAGCACCTACTAGTCAGAGCAATAACCAATGAACAAGGTTTATATTCAATGAAATCCTAACACAAACTGTCCTCATCTTTGTCACGTAGGTCATTCAATTAAACAAATTTATTTAGCACCAGGTAAGTGTTGTGCAATCAAAGAGAAAGTTGACAAAACGGTGGAAGAAATAGACACCAAACCCAGGTAAATATTATCTAGAAGATAACCCTGACCTGAGTAGTTGTTCTAAAGGTTAGCCAAGTCAAGATAACAAACCAACAACCCCCCCCAAAAAACAAATAACAAGTAATACACCAGAAATTCTTATAAATAATAGCACAACAGTAACTAAATATGAGCCTAAATGTAGATATAAGTATGGCTAAAATAAATTGACCAATAATTCTACAATATTTCCCTCTAAAGTAAAGCTATGCTGACAATTAGACAGAATATAACATCATTTATCCAGAACCAGAATATTTTTTAAACAATCTATTAAAAGAGACACTCTAGGACTACACTGAGTAATCTTTGTCTGACTGTCAAAGATTTTAGTGTTTTATTCATTTGCGTGCTAAGTATTTTCTCGCAGGTGCTGTGTGTTCTCCACATCAAACGCCAGAATAAACAAAATTCTCATGAGTCAGTGTCATGTGCAAACAAAAAAGGTTCCAAGGAATGTTTTTATTAAACATTACCTACGTATGGTCGGAGCAGTTGTCACAGAACAAGTGACTTGTTATGTTGTTATATAATAAAGAACTGCAAAAATAAGCCAGTGACAGTCATGCAAGTAAACAAAAGTGTTTATCTTTTCTACTCGTCACATATTTAGTACAGCAACGAGCCCAGGGGTGGGAGTCTGGTTTCTGTCTGGTCCTGTCATAGGATCAGAACACAGAGCAGCGCTGCTCAGTCGCAGTGTTTATTTAACACTGACACCTGCTTACAGCTTCTGATACTGCAGTACAGTTAGGGTCAGGGGCTGTAGGAAGTACAGACGTGTACTAAATGACCTGCTGCATTCTTCCATCTGGAACAATGTAAAGTGGTCTGTGGTGAAGAGCATCACTGAGTCCAGATTGGACAGTGACCTCATTCACACACACCTCTGTGTGTGTGTGTGTGTGTGTGTAACAAGAGCCTCCTCACACACTGAATGGCTTCTATCTCCCCTTTGACTGATGGACTGATGAGAAGAACTACTGGGAATTATTGCCCACAACATCCAGAGAGATCTCTCTGTAAGACTGGAATCATCAAACACACGATGTTTTTGGACGAGCTGAAAAAGCTGGTGAACTGATGCTGCCACAGTCACTTCAACCTTCAGAGTACACACAGCCAGTGGGGATGTAATTACCTGCTCTACTGAAAGGTAAAGGAACAAAGTTTCCCATGATTCAACTCCACAGACTCCACAGACAGTCATTCACCCCGTCCTTTAAGACAGCAGAGAGTCTGTTGGTCTGCCCCTCGTACCAGCAGACTTCACAGCCAAGTGTGTAATCCATCCATCTCCAGCCGCAGTCAAAACAAAGTACTTCTATAGCTGAGCAACACCAACACGCTCATCAGGAACCATGAGAAAAGTCTCCTTTTCCTCATCTTTTCCTTGCAGATGAACACTACACTGAGTCACCATTACAAACACATCTGAATCGTGTTTCCAGTGATGCTCACTGGTCTTCAGTTTCCAGTGAAGAAAACAAAAATCACATTGAATTATATGCTGTCAATCCCTACAGAAAAAGAAGACTGTGAGAAATATGTCTTCAATGAAATTTGACAAAATAAAGTCCATTAAAGGGACTCTGAAGAGTGATGTGGCAACAACAAAATCAATGTGTGATTCTGAAATCAACCGAAACCCATTACGAAAAAAACAGACCACAAATATTCTCTGACAAGCCACAGCAAACCAGTCAATGTCGGACCAGATGATTCAGCATGAAGTCATACGAAAAAATGAAACAAAACACAAACACTTCATACCCAGAAGAAGACAGGACAGAAACCAAAAGTACCATCGTGAATGTCAGCCTACGAACCCACACAGACACCCAGAACTCTACATGTTAACAATTACACTCTCGTCTACCTGCGCAGAAGAGGCTGGTGTTGATGCAGCTGAGATCCAGACCGTCTGTACCAGAGTGACTAAGTGTTTGCGTGAGAAACCACGTCTGTCTTACTTTACATGTTTGGGCGAGGCTTCACCAGACGCCCAGCCCTTTCTCCCTCACAGTCAGAGCTGCAGCACCAGCTACAGTGGGCACTGAGCTGTTACTGTAGCTTCATCTGCCACACTGCAGGGCCACACACACACACAAACATACACAAACACACAATGGAAAGATCTGGGCTGTTTACACTACACCATGTTTGTTCATGGAGAAATCCAGTCCATCAGAGTCTGGCAGTCAAATATTCACCTCAGTCTCAGTCATTCCAAATATAAATGAACTTTTAATCTTTAATGTGGGGGAGAACAGTGGCGACTGTGTGACCAGTGTAACAGACTCATTCTTCTAAAGTAAATCACTGACCACAGGTCACACCACAGGCAGCCTTGATGTCTACATTTAGAGACTGATATCAAACTCTGGACGACGTGTGACCAGCAGATAACCCAGTGGAATGAACAGGGGCCTCATTTATCTGGCACACGGTGACAGTGGAAGGTAGCAGCGCTGTGAGGAATGTGCCTGCTGCTTATGTAAGAGCGGCTAATGAAGCATCTTTATATAACAGTGATTGTAGTGTAAAGGACACAAAAGAAAAGACAGACGGACGGAATAATCAGAAGAACGACAACTAATGTCAAACTGCAGTTCCTCGAAAACTTTAGGTAAACAATGTAACCCTTGAAAAGGGTAAAAATTTGCTACAAATGTGGGAAAAATTCTAAATATTAGTTGAAATATAGAATAATAACAGAACAAGTGATAAACATTTTTGTAAATATGTTAGCAAAGCAAATATCAAACCAAAACTCAAATTTAAAAAATATGCATAACATTGAACAAAGAAAAGTATTTATATATGTGTTTTGAGGCCATTATTCAATTATATTTCATTAATTCTGTACAATTATTTTTCATTTCAGCTCATTGATTAAATTGATTTACCACTGTGTACCACTGCTCAGTTGAGTAAATGAAATGACAAATATCGACAACAAATAAACCTTTTTTTCCCCAATCTTTCCGACACTCTCCGTGCTGACATGTGATTACTGTAAACATGACATTTAACTCTTTAACGTCACAGTGTCATGATATTGTACACATCTGACCCAGCTTAGCTATGTTGATTATATCCTTCACAGTAACGTTCTGGTCTTTTTTATATCATCAGTCAATGATAATTTGTCAAGATCAGGAGGAAACTCCTGAGTGAATGTGAGGATTTACACAGGTTTTCCTTGTGACAACACTGGTCTGAGCAGAACAAAGAGAAGGAAGTTGAAGAGGTCGGACGTATAATAACAAGACCAAGTGAACTTTTCCATCTCAAAACAGTGATAAAATTCACATCATAAAGTGAAATCAAGGTTAAGGTTGTTTCGTAAAAAAACAGACATAACATACAAATGAAAATGAATAAAGGGAAAACCCTTGTCGTTTTCATTCTTGTCAAAAACCAAAAATTCAAATAGACGAAATTGACGTCAAAGATCTCACACAGAGTTTTATTTAGACGTCTTTTGTTGTCAGCTGTACTGCCCTCAGCTTCACTTCTACAATAGAAGACAAAGTTGAGCTCTGCAGACAGTCTGAGCTCGGCATCAAAGTATCAAAAGACTTCACATTACAGCCTAATACAGACGCTGGTGAATCAAACCCCAGATGACATTCAACAAAACCACCTGATCTCATTTAATTGTTTGTTGCAGCTTCTCAAATCTGTTGTCAAAAAGAAAAGAAGGCTTTTGTACTACCTTTCACCTATGTGTCTGGACATGTCACCAATGTACACCTCACTTCCTGCCAGCTGTCAGCATTAAAAAAAAGGATTTATTCATTAAAAAAAAGATTTATTCATTCATGCTGCCGCTCATGCTGCTGTTGTAACATGATTTTAGACAAGCGTTACCTTAAACCAATGACTTTGACTATTTCATAACAATCACTGCTGTAAGATCTGTGTCTGTCTTAGATAAACATCACACTCAATGCAACACTTTTATCTGAGTGTCTGTCTTAGATAAACATCGCACTCAATGCAAAACAATAATCATAATAGTTTTGACATTTTTTGAACATGTTTTTGAACGTACATAGAGAAGGTTTTTGGCTTGTAGACTGTACATTGAATCTACCATCTGGCATTTACAATGAAGACGTACCTGTAGCAGTAGATAGTCTTAGTGAACCACAACCAACAGGGGGCGACACCGCTGTCGAAAAATTAACTTGATCCCTGAAAACGGTTAAAGAAATGACAAAACTAGTTACTAGGTATTGTTTTATAGAATAAATAGTACATTATGCGAGTTATTGGAAAAGCATTGGAGCCTAGTTGTGATTTAAAATATATATAAATAAAAAAGTTAAAGATACGTGTATTACATTATATAGAATGATCATATCATACAGAAAAATAAATAAAAAAAATATCACACCTTTTTAAATGTTTTTAAGTTAATTAACAATGCCTTACGTGTACAAATATAAACTCGTACACATCCACACACGTGTTCGAATGTAAAAATAACCGTTAGTCACTCACTGTGGCAGCTGTGTCACAACGCTGAAAGTATGGATTTAATATTTGACACAGATTCTTTAAAACGTTAAACTTATTTTCCTTTAAGTAAAAAACAAACACAAACTATGTTTAATCATTACTCACGATGGTTTCCTTGTCCTTTTCTTCTATTCCAACCGACCGCGCCAATCGTCTTCTTCGACGTACATACGTACACACAAACAAAATACAATTACAACAGCGATATTTATTTTAACTAAAAAACAAAATACAATTACAACAGCGATATATATATTATTTTAACTAAGACACCTATTAACAGACCGTGTTTCGTCTGTTTTAGCTGCTATCAGACTATCGGACTAAAACTATTTTTAAAATGTGTGGAGCTCCGAGAGCAGAGGAGTGACGTGAAGTAACGACACCTGAACGCATCTCCGTTTTCCCTCCTCTTTGGCAAAACTAATCGAACCCTGCACCTCCTCCTCCGTCGGCCCCACTTTACCGAGCAATTAATCTGTAACTATTAAATAATGTATATGAAAGAATATGTTGTTTTATTTCTTCTTTTATTCAACAAATGATCGTTTTGCTAGAGAATAACCTGTTGCAAAGCTTTTTTTAAACTTACCCTAACAAAAGGACAGCATTTTTTAAAAATATAGTCAGAAATTATTACAAAAATCGATAAAATTTTCGGTTAGAATATCAAAGAACAAGGTTTTTTGGCTTCAGTAAACCTGTTCAAGTACCTGATTGGCCCCAGGTCTGATTTGGTACATTAATTAATTCATTTCACACAGTTGTGGTTCACACCCTTAATTTATTTTTCCATTTTGTTATCAGTGAAGCTATTTAGTCTTCCACACCAACAAACGTGTGGTAACAGAGCACAAATCCCAAAAACCTTTCGGTCACATTATCTTGAAGCAATAACTTTAGAATAACTAATGAAAGACATAATTCATTGTTGTAGAAATAACTTTAGAATAACTAATGAAAGACAGAATTCATTGTTGTCATGCATTTGGGGAAAAAGTGTGAAAAGGCTGCAAAAAAAAATCATTTGGGGAAAAAGTGTGAAAAGGCTGTGAAAAAAGTGTGAAGACTGTTAATGGTGCAAAAAATCTAAATAATGCAGAAAAGAATGGCATTGATATCTAAACTGAACCACATCTTGATGTTATTATTGTCACTTGTTTCCAGATCCTTAATGAGGACAACGGGGTGGGATGACATTTTTGCATCATCACTGTAATTCAGAAGTGAAGCATGAACACTGATCTGTGTTGATGAAAAGGCTACTGCTCACTTTCTCACACACTCCCTGACGCTGACACTGTTCACGCAGCACATTTCAAATAGGAAAGTGAAGAACAGGTCCATCAATAAAAGCCCAGATCTAATGAGACACCTGGAAATGAGTGAGCGGCGAAAGAAAATACAGACTCGTGACGGCCTACATCAGAACAGTGAAAGTAAACAAAATGTTCTCCTGACTGTGGGAAAAAGACAAGGTTAGCTGAGGAGAGAAGTGAAGGTTACGTCAGGTGGAGTCGTGATCGTAGCGAAGATAAAGTAACAACAGCTTCTGTGTCTGTCATTGGTTTTTAATATTTTTTCAATATTCCTCTATCTTTAATATATACATGCTCAACCTCACAAGATTTTCCTTATTTTTTTTACCACCAAATATATATCTTTCTTGTTTGAACATATACACGATTAAAAATATTCCAAGTTTCATGTTTTAAATACCTTCAACATTTTACGGATTATAATCGACGCTCATTAACAGCCAGGTGCAGCTCAGGAAAACTGTGGAACACTTCCAGATACGAGGAAAAGGAATGCACAAAAACACATGCACAGGCAACATCACGCACGATGAATACTTTAAAAAAACATGAAAAAAACAGCTGCACAAAAACAAGAAGCCAGCAATGACACTGTTAAAATAGAAAAGTGACCGTTAAGGCATTTTGAAAGAAAATTCTAGTTTTCCATCTAGATTTTTGAGCCTTCAGTAACAGGCCGTGAAGCAGGCCTCCTGTAACATAGGTGTGAGAAGAAAACAGCCGTGATTCTCAAACTACACCAGCATTAGATGTACATGTGGTAGATACTAGCTTCAAATGTATCTCCATAGATCCACAGTGTCAGTGTAGTAATGTCTGATTGTCGTAGCACATACTAACGGGTCCTTGTGACCTTGTGTGTGTATATGTGTGACCCGCTGTCCAGTTTGCTCAGAATGACATCCATTTATATTAAGCTACATCCACAACTAGTGCTTTCAATCAACCTCCATCTTTCTTTCTTTCTTTCTGGCTAAATCTGTGTCTTTTACACCCTCTCTGAGGCACGAAGACAAAACACAAATTAAGAAAAATGTTTGGCTTAAAGCAGATTTTCAATCACAAAATATTCTACAATATGACTCCTGATCACGTGACATGCTACAGTACTGATTCCACAGTTTATTATGGTCCACATCCAGAAAACAAAAACAAAAACAGCACAGAGCTTTTGTTAAGACCGGCTTTAAACAGAAATATGTCCAGTTAAATCGTCCATTTCTGATTGCAATTCATCTCTTCATCGTGATAAACAGTGGATGTCGTGACAGATTAAAGAAGTGATCGCCTAATTATCTTTGACAACCTGTCATGGTTGGACTGCTGCACTAAAAATAAAACTCTTGCTGGGGAAAGCAACGGCACCACAGGAGATCTTCGCATGAGTGGAGCCTTGATGCACTGAGTTACTGCTCAGTGGGGCAAATCTTATTTCTCTTTTGTAACTAAGAGTGTGTTTGGCCTCTCACTGCAGCTGTTGTCTTCTTCGTCTAGCAGCTGGAGTTCTGCAGGTGGCTCTCGTGCAGGATGGAGGAGATGCTGGAGTCGTAGAAACTGTCCTCGTCCTCCGAGCTGAGGTTGGAGGAGCCCAGAGCTGAGCGGTGTGTGTGCTGAGACTTCCTCCTGACACAAGGCAAACAACACAGGTTACACCAGCACTCAGTAAACAGAGGCAGGAGCAATAGCTCTAACTCTGTAGTGCCCCCTAGTGCAAAATAATGGCGTGGCACTGACAGAAATTGTGGTCAAGTATGGAAAGTTATTGCTTATTTTACTTAAAAAATAAATAAAAAAAGAACAGTTTAAACAGTTATACTCTTATTTTACTTAAAAAAAAAAAAAAAGAACAGTTTAAACAGTTATAAATTCTCAGATATCAGAAACAAAGGGGATTTACCTTAAAGAGAATAAAATATAGCCTGACAGGTTTTAAAGGTTAGCCAATATGTAGCATATATAACAGCACATTATCCAAAACTAAATAAATCAGCCCAGGGAACCATAGTTGTTCTGATTAAAAAAAACAACCACAACTGCATTCATACTTGAGTTCACTCTCCAGTGCTGTGACTTTGGCCTGCAGCGCCTCCTGCAGCTCCTGCTGCTCCTCCAGGTCTCTGAGGACTTTACGTCGGACCCCCTCTAGACGCTCCACCTCCAGCTCGCTCTCGTCCACCTGCCGCTTCAAGGCCTTTACACGCAGAGACAGCTGAGGGCGGAGAGGGAGAAGCAGGGGGTTAGAGGGGAGCAGAGGAGGTTAAAGGTGAGGGGTGGGAGCAGATTGGTCAGAGGGGTAAAAGCAGGAGCTCAGCTATGGCTAATGAAAAGAGCCGAGGAGGCAGAAAGATGATCAGGGAGGGCAGGTCAGGAAGCACGGTGGTGACCCAGTGAGAGGGCGTGGGTTAGGAGGTGTAGACGAGAGCACAGTGTTGATTATCACGAAGATAATGTGGGTTAAACACCAGATTATTTACAGGTAATTTTACAACACAATAAAAAAAGTTATTGTGTGGAAATAAACACAAGAAAGTCAAGAAAAATACATGTTTTGAAGGTTCCACTCAGAGTTCATTCTCTCACCATTCACTGTCCTTCTGGGGTGGGCAGTAACATAGCTACGGTTATTTCTGAAAGTCTACAAATAGTTACGAGAACATCCAGAAGATTAAACCAAGCTCAGAAAAAAAACCTGTTAACCTTGTTGTAGATCAACGCTTCTAAGCATCACATCACCATAGAGACCATCTGGATTTAGCCACCAAATACTGAAATAATGAGTTTATATTTATCTGCAGTTAATTGATGTCGATGTTTACCTGGTCTCTCTGCTCCACGTGTTGACTCCTCTCCTGGTCCAAGGTGGCGTTCAGTTCCTTTAGTTTCCTCTCATTTCGTCGGTGAGACGCCTGGATACTGGCTTTCTCTCTGTGGAGACAGAATTGTATAAATACCTGCATTAGTGTACATACAAATACAGGAGACAAATTCTAACTGAACGTTAGCTTGGAGACTTTAGAGACTGGCATGTGTCCTTAAACACTATAATTATATTTCATATATTTCATTTCTGAGGAAACAAAGGCATTTAGACTGTACTAAACGATTGGGTTTTAATCGCCTTTGTATATCAATTAATTATTGTCTCCTGCTTTGCTCCACATGTATGGCATAACATTTGTTTTGATTCATTCATGACTTGAGATTCTCAATTTCATGCAGTTTCTTTTTTTCTTGTTTCTTGTTGGGACCTTTCTTCACTGTGAAGTCTCTCCTCCAACTCTTGAATCTTGTTCTCCAGCAGTGAGAGTCCGATTGTGGGTCGAGGCTGTCCTTCCATGTCTGCCATTCGAGACTTCAGCTCCTTCACCTGCGAGGAGGAAGGGAGGGAACCAAGGAATTCAGTTAATTCATAGTAATTTGTCATTTCTGTGCGGGCCACACGGACGTTTCAAACATGAACAGTACTTGTCTCTCCAGTGCACTCTTGTCCATCTCCAGGTCGTGTCTGGCTGAACGCTCCTGCATCAGATCTGAACGAAGCTGATCCACCTGAGAAGATGAGGAAGAGGGAACCTGAGTATTGGTTCTGTCACTGCACAAAAGGCCAGCTCTGTATTTACATATGTATTCAAATCTTTCATATGGCCTCACCTGGTCTCTGTTTCGTGCGATACGGTCGTTCAGAAGCTCCACACCGGTCCTCTCTTCATCCAGCTCAATCTCCAGGGTCTTAACTTTATCCTGTAAACACACACAAAAAAACCAGACAGGAGTAAAATTAAAACACAGCAAATGAGAGATTCAGTGCTTTCACATGACACTGTTCCATTCACTTTAATTCATGACCTCTGACCATGTGACCTCACCTCCAGGACCCGGATCTCCCTGGAGCGATCTGTGTGGTTGTTCTTCTCCGTCTCTATTTCACTCTCCAGGTGTTTGAGACGGTTGGTGAAGAGGTCTCTCTCCAGCTGAGCGCTGTCTCGCTCCTCGCCGCACAACAGCAGCTCCTTCTTCAGACGGGAAACCTGTAACACAAGGTGAAGAAGAGCAAAAGAAATCTATGAAACAGAGCAGAGATCCAGCTGTTTTCAGAGCTCAGCTCCGTTGTTTGACCCTAACCATTTGCAGTGAAAGTGGGTGAGCAGTTTCTCTGCTATCCAGAAAGTCATGGGGTTGATTCTTCCCAGATTGTTCCCGGGGCCCTGACTAAACCAGAACGTACAGTTCAATTAAAATGATTTCTGAGGAGGAGATGTTCCAGAAGTGTCTACTACGTCCTGGACTGTTTCAGTCTAATCCAGTGAGCTCACCTCATCTTGCTGGGCCTTCAGGTTGCTCTGGGCTCGCTGCAGCTCAGCCAGTCTGTCTTTGCTGTTACGCTGTGCCTCCAGCAGTTCCTTCCTGGATCGCTCCCTGAAGTCATCGAGCTGTGTGTGCAGTGAGGTCACGGACTGACGGGAATCTTCCATCATCATCTCCATCTGATGAGAGGAAACAGACCGCAGAACAAGAGGATGAGTCAATACATCTCCATCTTCATCATCTCTTGATTGGACGGCGTTCTACACCACACCTCTTTGCTGATCTTCTCCAGAGCTCGGTCCAGCAGCCTCTTCTGCTCCTCCAGCTCGCTCTTGCCTCGCCGCAGCGCTTCCCTCTCCAGGTCTCTCTCCTCCAGCCGCCGGGCGAGCTCATCCTTCTCCTTGGTCAGACGGGAGACTCCTCTCTTGGCCTCCTCCAGCTGAGACTTGAGGGAGCGGTTCTCGTCCTGCAGAGCTTCCACCACCTCCTCGGTCTCAGAGCTCCGAGGAACACTGGAGTGAAGCCTCGTCTGTAGGTCATGAAGACATCTACTGATTACCACAGCATCACAGATGGACATAGACCAGGACTGAGGATTTATTGGTATCATTTTTTACTATTATTCAAGTCTTGGTCCACTGCTGATTTTCATTATTCACCCGGAAAAATGTAACAAAGGTCTAAACATACACCATTCCATCTCAGTTCCAAGAACTAAACTGACTACGACCCAGTGTTTAAGGCTGATATTCTTTGTAAGGATCAAACCACGACATCTTGTGCTTCTCCACTTACATAATTCTTAATCTCAGTGAAGATACTTGTACATGTAATTAAGTCAGGCTTTAAAGCCTAGTGATTAAATAATTAATAAGAATGAAGCAGAAAAGATACATTCATGAACGCTGTTCAGTTGGCATGTGATGCACTATGCAAATTTATGCTGAAGATTATTTCATTTGGTCTTATTTTAATTTACTATGATTTTCACAGTTGACTCGTGTCTGAGTGGGAGGCTTTCTTACATGTACAGTGAGAGCGTTTGCATAATTTATTTGCATGTGTGTGTGTGTGTATTGATATACCATGCGGGACAGTCTGTCCCTGAGGCGAGCGTTTGCTTCCTGCAGCTCCAGACCTTTCCCATGATCCACCACGGTCTTTCCTGTAGATTCTGCTGATGTCTGTAGAGAGATTTGAACAGAACAGTAAAACGGCAGCACTTTCATTTTTTAACTTAAACACTAGATTTTTGTTTTGTCAGTGGTACTCAAATTCTTTTTTATTTGAAAGGGCCTTTCAAAATGACACTCAACAGTACCTTAGTAAAACACTGTTGTACAGTGTGGAGATAAAGAATATAATGAAAATATTGGATGGTCTTAGATGCGAAAAGCAATTTATGAGCGTGAACACCTGCAGCGCTATTTGTTTAAAAATGTAAGGCACTTGTCTGTTTTTACCTTGGACTCCTGCTGCTGCACCTCCTTTGCCTTCTCCAGTGCCTTTTCCAGCTCGGCCTTGTCTCTCTGCGACCGCTCCTTCAGTTGGTTGATTTCGGACTCAAGCTCGGTCTCTTTCGCTGCGCTGGCTTTTTTCAGGGCTTCAAAAGCTTTGCTCTTCTCCTGTAACTCGCCCGACTGTTTGTCCAGATCGGCGCGAGTCCGCTGTAGATTGTCATGGCAACGCTGAAGCTCCTTAGGAAGAGTAATCAGAGATGAATAATGTGTGTGAGCAGGAGGAATGTGATGAGGAGCATCAAAAATCTTTTTGAGGATAAATCATGTGAAGGCTTGTAGATTTTTTTTCTGATTTCTATAAAAGGAGGAAAGACTAGAAGCTACAGGGACGAAGAGAGAATTTCAAAAGGTGTGGCCAAAAACCTTTACTAAAAGTAACCATCAGGGATTTTTTAGAAATGTATTTGTAAATATGTTATACAACTATTTCAAATTATAGAATTAAAAAGTATCAGGAGTGTAGTTAAACTCTTTTTGTCACAATATGTCCAAAACTATGACACAATAACTTTCTACATAAATTAAAGCACTTGTTTTAATCACTGTAAGTGTATTTGTACGTTCTTCAGTCTGTTGCTCCTTGATAAGTACACAACAAGCTCCAGAGTAAAGCAAGAAAAAATGTGAGAGACATGAACTGAATTCTATCTTAAAAAAAACCACAAAAACCCCACAGCTGTTAAACTGCTCTGACAGATAAAAAACCAAGCCGTGAAACTGGTACTGTAAAACAGCGGAGACGAGCCCCTCCACTTCACCCACACCCACGGTATAATCCCCATGTTCTGCCGCGTGACGGATGAGAATTACCTCTGCTAAAGAATGGTTATCATCAGACGCAGGCACTTGTTTCTTCATCACCAGCAGAGAATCCTCCAGATCCTTAATCTTCCTCTCAAATTCCTCTCTCTCCAAATGGGATTTCAACAGCCTGTGGGATGAAGCCACATCGTAAGGATACGATGCATACGAGGGGAAAACACAAAAACACACTCTTCAAAGCACACAAAAAAAAAAACATCTGCAAGCCAAAGACAAAAACACAGAGACATTACTACACTGACAATTTTAAAGAAAATGCATCACTGACACATTTATTCATAAATATTTTGTTAAAATCAGGGAATACTGTAGAGATCACGGGTTAAGCAACAACCCACACATATACACACACAACTCTGTGGACATTTGATTGGGTTTATTTTGTTCTCAGATTGCTGTTAGCAGGGACTGACCGATCTAATGACCACACCAGTTGTCATCAGATTCAAAATCCACTTTGACAATCAGTACAGACTGTTCAGCTGGATTTTCAAGGTCGGAGGAACAAACTGGAAAAAAAAAAAAAAAGTCTAAATCTACTCAAACCCAACCCAGGTATTCACTCTGTCTCACGTTGAACTGCTGACAGGCTCCGTGCTCCTGCTGGAATCAAGAGGACAGTGAGGGGGTGTGAAATCTTCTAGAAGCGAACCAGGAATAATTTTACAGCAAAGTTCTTCCCAAAGTGAATGTCTCTGAGCTTCTTCACCAGTGTGAAGTTACATACAGGTTCAAACACAACAGCAGGCTGTTTGATGTTTGACCAAGGACAGAACAGGAAGCTGTGAGTCCGAAGTATTCATGAGTGCAGTGAGTCATCTCAAGGTCCGTCTGGTTTTTGGACTCTTCACTTTACTTTAACTCTGTGTTGTGTATCATAGGCTGTATTTGAAACAAGGCAAAGATCCATCTGGAGTCTGTGACCTTGGTGTTTGTTCTGCAAAAGGTTTGTGATTTATAAACAGTTTTCTGTTGTATATAGAAGAGGTAGAACACTTTTTTCCGCTGTCTCTCGATGCATTCATAGATTTCCTGTCCGTCGTATTGAGACTACGTTGACTCATGTCAATGTAGCAGTGATCAAACCTGCAGCACCTCAGTGAGTTATTACTTTTTTACTCTGTTTTGTGTACGGCTGGCAGACAAGGTAAAATACACAATTAACTTTAAAAAATCCCCACAATATCTCAGTGGACATTGATGAAGTTGATGATAAAAAATGAAAAAAAGTAAAAAATATTTTTAGGTCTAAAAGATTGTTTTAATGTCCCTGAGGTAAAAGTATTCAATTATTTACAATATTTGGAAAAATGCACCATTTTTAAGTGGCGTTAACTGACAAACCATTTGTCTTATTCACAGAATTATATTCTCTGGATAACTGATGGAAAAGCTGAGGTGGTGCAGGGCCTGTGCTCACAGCTGTAGGTACAGTGTATACAGCACACGTCTGAAGACGCAGCTGTTGTAGACACTCACTCTTCTCTGGTGTGGTTGAGCTCCTGCGTGGTGACGTCCACCTCCGTCTTCCACTGATCCCTCTCATCCCTGTAGCTCTCCAGCTCCTCCTCCAGAGTCAACATGGTGGTGTTCACCCGCTCCCTCTCCTCCACGATCTGCTCCTGAGACTGACATCCAATCAAAAATGGAATTCAAGTGACCTACAGGAGTTTATTATTGACTCTGTGAATACAGTAGAAATAAATGACAGAATTCATTTTGACAAAGAATTGTCCTTAAAAGTCTAAAAGGTAGTTCAACATGAGGGATAAGCCCTTCATAAGGACCACAGCGTTGACACAAACACAGCTGCAGCGTCTTCATCCTCCACCACCGCCCGTCATCAGGAGCATCTGCTGACAACACGTCTGCTGCTCCCTGCTCTCAGGCTGCCTGCTGCCTGTTTTGTCCTGACACCCGCCGTTTCCTTAAAACTGCATAATGATCCCTCCTTGTATATCCATACATAGAGTATGTGCTTCACATTTCTGCTGCACACCTTCTGACAGGGCTCCAAAAATAGCCCACCGGCAGGAGCAGAAACGATGGAATACAAATTCAGCAAGAAAGGTTTCACAAAAAAAAAAAAAAAAAATCACTGAAACTCTTGCTGCCTGCTGACATGAAGTACCTTATTACAAGAAAGATTATTGGGTAAAAATTTAATTTTAAACTTACTTATTTAAATCCCTCATAATCTTGCCTTGTTTTTTTTAACATAATTGAAATTAAAGCAGCCTAATATCTCTGCTGATGTTTTATAAAGACTTCCAGTGATTAAAACCATCTTTGACAACATGATAAAGACTTGGATCACCACAGTTAGAACTGTTTGGATCGGTTCTGTGTCCTGAGCCTCCACACATTAAAGCTAATCTGAATGTCGGCTGCGTTGCGTTCTGTCCACCTGTGTGAACTGCTCCATGGTTCTCCTCAGGTTGTCCATGTCCTGACCGTACTGCTCCCTCAGAGCCTCCATCTCCTTGTCATGACACTCCACCTCCTCCTTCAGAGCTCCCTTCAACGCCACCAGCTCCCGCTCCCTCTGGTGGAGCGTGTCCTCCTGCCGCTGACGCAACAGGGCGGCTTCAGCCAGCTCGGCCTGCAGAGTCATCACATCCTGCAGACGGAAAAGACGCACAGGCCCAACACTGGTGAGAGCCGTGGCTATGTTTGTTTTGTCGTGGTGGTGGTCGATGTCACTCACCGTGTGCAGTGAGCCGGAGTAAGGAGAGCTCTCTGAGAACCTCCTCAGCTCCTCCTGAAGCTCGGCCAGCTGATCTTCCTGCAGCCGCTGACGAGACTCAGAGAGTTCTCTGGACATTCGCTCCTGGGCCAGTCTGAACACACACACACACACACACACACACACACACTCTCAACATTAGTCATTAACAAACTTCTAAACGAGACAATAATGGAGCGATCATGATGATTAGACCTGGAGCTGCAGCGTTAACAACTGGCAGCTCATTATAGGCCATTAAATTGACTCACATTAGCAACCATTAGCTATGTTTGGCTTAAACAACAAGAATTATACTTAAGCAACTTTTTTAAAAGTCATTATTGTTGGGCTAAATGTTAGCTAATATAATATACTATAAAAAGTAGTAAATATTTATTTTCTTTGGCTTGAAATATATTGCCAATATTCTTGATAATACTGAATATTCGTCATTATTGTTGGGCTAAATGTTAGCTTGACTGTGCATATAGACTATAATATAATACACTATAAAAACATAGTAAATATTTATTTTCTTTGGCTTGAAATATTCTTGGTTACCACTTGGTTATGACTTGTTATAACTCCCTGGAATTAATTATTTCAGCTGTTAGGTGACAATACCTTTAATCATTTGGAATGTGTGGCTCAATTGTTCAGACAGTTTTGGATTAGTTTCTGGTTATGTTGGAATTTTGGTTGTTGGAACACACTGTGAGACTCAGCTGGATATTTTTGACTCAAATGCTCAAACATATTTACAATCTACGTTGGTACGTCTCACAGCAAATCTATGCGAGCGCCACACACACTTACTCATCGTGAGCCTGCAGCAGATCTCTCTTGCAACGTTGGAGTTGCTCCTGAAGCTCCTCAGGTTTAGACTTTGGGAGGCTCCCGTCAGATCCTCCCTTCTGCAAACAAAAACAGAAACACAAAGTGGAGAGGAGACCGAGGATGAGACTTCAGAGGAACAGGACCAAAACAAACAAACGAAAAAAGACACAAAGACGCCGTGGAACCACCGTACAACCCTCCACATCCATTATGGAATCTTTATTACTTAAACATTGGAAATAGAAAACTTTTCTTGCAGCTCCTTCCTTTTGCTCTAGTTTCTGACAGTGGAAAACATTCCGGTGTCTCTTCACTCAGCGAGGATCTCTGCACATAAACAACAGTTTCTGACAGGCTGCAGGGCAGCAGAGCAGCAGCGGAGGTTCATTAGTGTCGCCCACGCCGCTCATCACGACTCCTCCTGCAGAAAATGAAGTTTAAACGCTGCTCGCCTGTGAAAACCTGGTTCATCCACCTACACAGCCATTACAGGGTCACACCGTCAGAGACGCCTGGATCACAGAAAGTTCAGCTCCTCAGGAGAGTGTCTCCATCAGTCGCACTAATCAGCAGTGAATAATTCACTTATACTCTGTGCAGATTTGTTGTATTTTCTACTCGTTCGTTGTTTGGAGATAATCTTTCTTTGTGAAAAGATTATTCACGAACAATATCATCACAGTTAATGAGCATCAGCTCCTCTGAGCTCTTTCAAGTGAATTACATCAGCTGTGTTTTCATATGTACTGTAACACTACTGAATACAGATAAATGAATCACTGTCTGTAGCCAATACCAGACAGGTCAACCACAGGGACAGACAGTAACAAAAAATAAAACAACAACCACACACTCTCACAATCACACCAATACTCTGTCTCTATAGTCTCCCATTTACAAAATACACAATTTGCATTTGTTAGTATTAGTATTAGTATTAGTGCTAGTATTAGTATTAGTAGGAAACGGAACTACTTGGATAACACACTCATGAAGAACATGCAAATTCCACACAAACCACGTGTTGAGCCAACCAGGAAATAATGTTTCTTGTTGAAATGACCAACAAAGAAAAATGCCAAAAAGAGAGTTCATATATGCACTAAATAATTGACTAGATTTTCTCAAAATGTACTTTCTTTTCATCCTTTTGTGCGTTTCGTTTACGAATGTGTTTCTGAATCTGTCAACAGTGTCATGTAAATTGAGGAGTCTTTGTTTGACAGTGTCGTTCTGAGAAGGATCTGTCTCATCCGACGTGCCAACCCTCTGCTGGTGCAGGGTTCCAGTCCAACTCAATTATTAATGGATCTGAACGAATGCTCTCTCAGCACTCACACACACACACACACACACACACACACACTGAGACCTCAACAGCTTTCCTCTGCAGCTGCACCGTTGCCAAGAGACGATGCATAAACAGCCATGGACATGGAGCGGCTCAGAAGTGCATTACAAGGCATCATACATAATCAAGTGCATGTTAGGAGACACAAAAGAATACATCTACAAAGGGTCGTGAAACTGAAGCAATATGATGAAAATGTGTATTTTAACAAGGTGTCAGCGGCGGTGGAACAGTGGAATTCTCAACCTGCTGTTTCATTTTCAATATTTCTGACCTTCAGCGAGGAAGCCTCGGAGGCACGGCTGAATAAAACACCAACTTCCTGTCGTTAGAACGATGCAGCGGCCACCGGCCATCTGTTAGGTTCATTACATGAACTGCGCTGCAGGAGAAGACTGGCGTCTCAGACTCAACTAACTTCCATCCTCCCCTTTTGTTCGACCAATAATTTGAACCCAGACACAGGAGCAGAAACAGCCACTGTAATTCAATGCAGTGCGTGTGAGCATTAAGACAATTGGGCTCAGTTTCATGGCTTCATAAAAAAAAAAAAAAATCTACCAGTGGTAGTCTTGAAACATCTTTAAATTTACTAACAGCTTTGGACCTTAAAACGTCTGTGCTGAGATTGGGAACCAAGTGGAATTTAACCGGGAACCTTCTACATAGATAGGAATCCAGCAGCTACACATTGTCAAACACAGTTAAAGGCTGTTCTGAATAGCTTTACCTTCAAACTGCCCGGTGCTGTGTTTTCAGAGCTGAACTTCCTTCTGAGGAATCCTTGACTTTCACTGCTGAGAAAAGCATCAGAGAGAGATTGACATTGTTAGAGCTCCATAACCTCTCAATGGAAACAGGACTTACAGTAGGTGGTGATGGTTGATTACCTGTCTGTGCCGGTGTTCAAAACAGGGTTCCTGACCTGTGGTTCTTCTCCAGCGATCACCTCAGTGGTTTTGCTCCTCAGAGACGGCTCAGCAGTGGTACTTACAGGCTTCTTAGTTACAGGAAGAGAAAAGTTCTTGGTAACAAACGTCTCCTGTGACGTGAAGTTCGTCTTTGGAGCCTGAGGTGCAGAAACCTTGGGGGCAAATGCAGAGATCTTTCCCAAACTGCTGCTTAACGAAGTAGATGATGTAGACAGAGGAGCGTAGGGGTTGACAGCCGGGGGCGGGGGCGGGGGTAACGGGACCTCCGGCTGAGGCTCACTCCTGGCATCAAGACTTCTGGATCGCTTGCGTTCATCAAATCTGAGCCTCTGCCTGGCTCCAGAGCGACCTCTGGTCTGTGGCGCTGCACTTGTCGTTCCTGCATCAAACTTAGTGATGAGTTTGTTGATGGGAGACAGAGATTTGGTATCAACAGTTGGAGTCTGCTCCTTATCTGCAGCTTCTGAAAAGGACTTTAAGAAGGACTTGGTCCCACCATATCTGCCCAAAGAGGTGTTGACACCAGACGTACTTGGTTTAAACCCCTTTGGTCCTACACTGTTTAACTTGACGCGCCTCAGCCCGGCTTCATTGAACTCATCGTTCTTTGTCCAATCTTTGCCGTTTTCCACTTTCACAGACGTTGGTTTGAGTTGTGGCACCACTTTCTCCTTTTCTACCTTTGCTTGTCTCCCAGCTCTAGCCTCTTCCTCCCCTTGTGTCCCCGCCTGACCATCACCTGGGGGGCGCTTTAGGGGACTCCCAAAAATCTCCCCAATCTCCTCCTCCGCAGGAGACACAGGAGACACAGGAGACACAGGAGACACAGGAGAGCGAGCTGTGTTTGCAGCAGAGCTGTAAGGGTTTGTAAACTCAGCTGGTACTTTAGTAGGTTTAGTTAGACTGTTGAAAGGGGACGGGGATCCAGAGCTGGAGCTGGAGGTGGGGGTGTTCAGCTGGACTCCATAGGAGTCCCCTTTCTCACCATCCTTTAGAACTACGTATGGATGTCCAGAGATTCCCTGCACTCGTACTGCTACGCCGTATTTGTTGGAAGCAGGACTTGGACCGTTTGTTTTATATCTGTCAGAGAAACCTCCTCCCGTGTCGTCCAGGTCCTTGATGAAGCGGATCTGGACGCCATAGTCCACCAGCATCTTCTTATCATTGGAGACAGTGGTCATAGTCACTTGGTGGTGTCTGTGTTGAACAGCCTGGTTGAGAAGAGGAAAACAAAATTAGAGTGATGCAGTGTTTCCCATAATAAAGACCTTGACATTAGACACTCCAGACAGCTGTCAAGACAAAACAAAACACACAATCAGGAACGTCACCATCACTCTGAAATCTGTCTTCTGGATTTCTCCATGCACATTTCCCTTTTTCCTACTTTTTCTAAGCATGACATTTTAGTTGAGACAATATTTTTGTCAATATTGGAACCTCAACTAAGAAGAGAAAGAAGATATGACCAGTAGAGGGCAGTAGCACAACGAACGACAACAACGACCCTAATGATACCCTAAAAATACACAGTCTCTTTTGACCAAAAACTTTTGGATGATGCAACCCAGCGTTTGCATAGCAGAGGTTACAAGCGAACTCTTTTACTCAGTTTCATTGTTTACATATCAGACTCTTGCAGACCTGGCTCTGACCCCACACCCTTCTCCTTCAGAACCGTATCATTGTCTTTTGTGTCGTTTCTTTCTCCAGGACGAGTCAGTGAAACTGTGCTACAATATCAGATGGCTGGTATATCTTGATGAAACTGTCATCTTCCCTCACTGCTCCGAAGGCTGAAATTCCTTCTCAACCTGCACAACATTGTTTTCATGTCAAACCAAATATGCCACAGGGCCATGGGAATCTTTTTGTACCGATGGAAGACGACTTACATCCAGAGGGTGTTCTCACAAGTAGCTTTTGTCTGCAAAGATATATTTTAAGGCAACATTCCATATTTCGTTAAATCTCCAGCTGATTTTAAGTCATTTTTTTGTTATTTTTATAGCCACAAAAAACATTAAAATATTTTTGTTTTTAATCCAGGCTTCCAGAGCAGGAAGCCTGGATTAAAAACTAAAATATTTTAATGTTTTTTTTCAACTATATTTTTATACAAAGAGTGATAAAACTAAAACGTCTCCATCCTGATTGATCGCTGACTCTTGGCTTCAGTTAAAAAAAAAAAAAGCATCTTGTGTGATCTTTCCATCAGCCCACGATCAAAGCTGAGCAGTTATGCACAACGAAGCCGTCAAAGACTTGAACCTGGAATGTTTATGAACTTGTAACAGATAAAAACAGACACAGACTCAACGTCACCCTGTTGACTCCTCAAACAGCTGGGTCAGGTGCAGTGTACGTCGGCGGTGTCACCTAAGAGAGCCTGAGGGCTGCTATAAAAATGAGTTTGGTGACGAACACTTGGAGGAGGTGAACACACCTCCTTTTGTCCAGGCTCTGTGGAGCATTAAACACTGGGGGCTCTATTAGAAACTGGTCTTCTCCTCATTCTCCTTCTGTCTGCCTGCCTCGGCCTCTGCCAGGGTCTCCACAGTCACCAGACATCAGAGGGGAGTCACTGGAGCGTGGACTGTTTGCTTTGAGCTGCACACACACACACACACACACACAGACAGAGTCCTTGTCTCGTAGCAGATAGCTGGTGTAATCAGCCTCGCTCTTTTCCATTATCTCTGTAACTAGGTGCTAAGTTATGTGCAGCAGCTTAT